GAGACCCAGGACCTTGACCTCGGAAGACCTGGCTCCACTACACCACTGGGTAAAAAATATTCTGAAAAAGAAAAATTGTGGGATTTGGGGATACCTTTCCTTTGATGTAAACTACCTAGAAAATTGCCTAGCACTAATCGGACAGTAACCCATGTTTTATAAATAAACAACAAACAAACAAAATGTAGATGAACATTTTTTCTAGAGGAAAGCATTATGAAGGCAGAACTCCTGAATCAATCTGCAGCCTCTATACGAGTGCTGATTATGATTTCTAACATAATACAGGCTGTGAATCAAACTGCAGCAAAGCCAAATCCTTCCGATTCAGCTTCCCAGTGTAGTCACACCCTTACTGAAAAGACAATGCAACTTGGGAGACCTCTAAGGATTTGAAAGAAAGCAGTGAGGAGACAAGCATCAAAAGGTCAAGGTATTTAAAACATGCAGGCAGTAAGTATCAGCACCCACACACTATCATTGCGGGAAATACTTCAGCATGTTCTCTGCTTTCATTTGATGGCTACCAGCAATGGAAAACTAATAGGATTGCTTAATCAAAAAAGAATTGCACAACTAAAGACACCTACAGCACCAACCACAAAGGCCAGCCTTAACCAGTGGGTTAAAGTCAGCTGAGCAGCTTGGGAAACGGGGAAAATGTCCGTTCCGATAACTGGCCTTCTTTTTGGTTTCCCCGCAGCAGATTGCCTCATGTGGGCTAAAAGCCTAGGGGGTTGGGGCTAAGACAAAACTGTTTTGTTCTGCCTGGCATGCAGGATTACTGCCAGGAAAAAGAGGCACCTGTGCTTATGTTTATTGTGAACATCTTTTGGGAAGGAGGATTGAGCTTGCAGTGTCTCATCTGTCCTTTATGTTCTCTTTTTCTGACACTTATAACAACCCTTTCAGGTCCATTTGCATCAGGGCTGTGTAGGACAAGGGGAAAGAGCCACAGCAAGCCCTGGAAAGCCACAGCCTGCCCAACCTTCAGGATACCCACCCTTTCTTTCTCTCTATCAGAACACTGTGCAATTAAAATTACAGAAGAATATAATAGATAAGTAAAATTAAAACAAATCAAAATGTTAAAATAATTAAGACTATATTTGATCAGAAATGGGCTACTTCAATTGTGTTACCTGGGACATTTCCTAAACCTTCTTTTGTATGTCTGGTGGGACATAAATTGCATGAGCAAACGTTCATGGATTCTCTCTAGATTGAGAGAAGCACCACAAACACCAGCAGAACGTCAACAAAAAGAGGAAAGTTTGAAACTCAACAAAACTTGGCTCCCAGCTCTCAAAAATACAGCATGCAAAAGGTCAGCAATCTCTCCCCAGCCACAAGGACCAGGGATCACTACACACAAAAGACCAGTTACTGACACCCATCAATCACAGTGACAGATAATCTCTCTTCCTTATCACAACAATACACCCACAACAAGACACACTAATCACCCATCTACAGAAAAAGACAAAAGCCTATCTCACAGCCATAAATCCTCCACTCCCAAGCCAACTACACCAGAGCACAGAATGCTGTCCTCTGAAGATGCTGGCCACAGAGACCGGTGAAACGTTAGGAAGAACAACCTTCAGAACACGACCAAAGAGCCCGAAAAACCCACAACAACCATTAGATCCCGGTCGTGGAAGCCTTTGCGAATACAAACCCATGTATGATTTTTCAGGATGCTCGTAATATAAGCTCTACCCCAAAAATAAGCCCCAGTTAAATGAAACCCCGCTCTCCACCATTGTGCAGCAACCAGAAGAAGATGACATGATTATATTTGAATAAATGTAGATTGTTGTACATGAAAAATATAAAACATCCCCTGAAAATAAGCCCTTATGCGTTTTTTGGAGCAAAAATAAGACGGGGAAACACGGTAATAGCACTTTTCAAATGTTTGAAAGGCTGTCATACAGAGGAGGGGCAAGATCTGTTCTCGATCATCCCAGAGTGCAGGACACACCACAATGGGCTCAAGATAAAGAAATCCAGATTTCAGTTGAATATCAGGAAAAACGTCCTAACTGTTAGAGCAGTACAACCATTGAACCAGTTACCTCGGGAGTGGGTGCTCCAACACTGCAGGCATTCAAGAAAAACTTAGATAATCAGCTGGCAGATATGCTTTGATTGTATTCCTGCACTGAGCAGGGGGTTGGACTTGATGGCCTTGTAGGCCCCTTCCAACTTCACATTTCTATGATTCTATGAAAGTTATGTTAGTGAGCCTAAAGCTCAACAAAGCATTAAGAGTCTAGGTGGCATAATCCCATACACTCAATACACACCGATCCACTCTCTGATGTGCACCAGGTGGCAATGCATGGTAGATAACGGGTCCTGCCCAGAATGGTAGCCCCTCAGCACCTGGACTGTAGGGTCATCTCACAAGGAAGGTTTCTTAGGTCCTCTCACACTTGGTCTTTCAAATTTTGTTGCTTTAGGGAGGACAGGGAGATGGTAAATGGTGTTGCTTCTCTGTCACTCTTGTCAGTGGAAATGGTGCCTTCTTTTGTCCACAGTTCAATTTCTTCTTCTCTTTTCCCATGTGTTGGCTAGTGATTCATTCTAGAAACACCACCCAGGTATGGTTATCTGGAAGCTGAGTCATGGCAACTGGACTTCTATCTTGTTAGATTGAAATGTTTCGCTACTCATCCAAGTAGTTTCTTCAATTTTGATCAGTTCTCTCTTCTTTTTTGTGACCATATTTCCATTTATCTCTTTTATTTATTTCCTTCTTGCTCTGCTACCTTTGTGGAGACCTTTTCTGTGAGAAATGCCAAAAAAGCATCATGGGAGTTTCCAGAGAAAGCGTTCATTTAACTGGTGAGGTGAGACGTTTTCAAATACATGCATTCACCAGAACACATGCCTGTAAGCAAAAGTCCAAGACAAAGAATACAGATAGATAAAATACATATAGAAGGTATGTGCAAAGGGTCATGAACGGTAATTTAAATTGACATTTCTTTGAAGAATTCTATATCTCAAAGGAAAACATCCTTTAGCATCTGCTTTTCTCTTCTAAGTGATCTATTATTTCCTGTAGCCGATCTGGAAAGAAACTTTTTATTATTTTACTGTTTTATTGTTCTTTGATATAGTTTGTTTCAGCCCTATATGAGGTCTGAATGGTTCTAAGAAATGGCCAACTGGGACACTATATAGAAGTATATTTAGGCTACATAATGGCTGAATTCTAATGTATATGGTTCTTTCTTAAAGTCACAATGAGGAGGATCCCATCATCTTCCCCTCAGGGAAAGGAAACAAGACAGCTGACAGAGAAATTCTTATACAGCGGAAAGGGGCAACTGAAATTTGAGTAAGGGGAATTCCTAGTTTGGTTTTTCATGCCACATTCTTTGATGGTCCAAAGACGTTCAGAATGTTCTGCATCATCTGGTCATCAGTTCATCCAAAATTGCAACATCTCTATCATATTCTGTTTCACAATCAATATTCCCTTTGTCATCTATCCAGAGGCAAATGTTTTGGGTTATAAAAGCCACTTTATCTTAAAGGAGTCCACACACTATCCTTCAGAGAACTGCAGCCATGAAAGGTCTTCTGGTCATCTCACTCCTCTACCTCCTTGTTGCAGTGAATGAAGCCAAAGTATTTGGGAGATGTGAGTTGGCTTCACTTCTGAAAAGGAAGGGGATGAGTGGCTACCGTGGCTACAGCCTGGGCAACTGTGAGTTTGCTTTCCCCTTCTCTCCATCATTGTCACTTTTTACCTCCAGTTTTGCCATTTTCCCGCATCTCTATGATATTTGATCTTGTTCCTAAAATTGCCAATTTCCACATCCTGATAAAAGTCAAACCCAAGAAAGTTTTAACTTTGGATCTCTTGTAGTTTCTTTTAAGGGTACACCTGCAGTGGAGGCTATGGAAATGACTAACCAGGGCTCGCTGTTGACCCTTGGGGCATTTTGTCACAAGTGGAAGGCATCTAATACTTGCGTAATTGACAATTGCAGAAAACAAGAATTTGAGTTATAGCCTTCCTAATGAAATTCACATAAGTCAAGAAGGATGGGGGGGCAGCTATTTTATAAAGAAGACTATCCTTTTTATTTCATATTTGAAGAAGAAAGTCAAGATTACATTTTAATTTTGTATTATTATTATTATTATTATTATTATTATTATTATTATTATTATTATTATTATTATTATTATTATTATTATTATTATTATTATTATTATTATTATTATTATCAGAGCTACAAAAACCAGCAATATTAGGAACAGCATACATACTATGCCAATATTTAACAGATACTTATGTTTTTGTTTAAAACTTGTATCTTTTATATAATACCAGTCCATGTTATCCAAAGTCAGGGATAAAATGAAGTCTCTCTCTCTCTCTATCTCTCTCTCTCTCTCTCTCACACACACACACACACACACACACACACACACACACACACACACACACACAGAGAGAGAGAGAGAGAGAGAGAGAGAGAGAGAGAGAGAGAGATCTTAACATATTTTGCTCAAGTTTTGAAGGTTGCTTTTAAATTTTTCAGATAGAAAATGTTAACTTTCCCCCCTTATTTCCCCTGTGAAATATCACCACTGATATTTTAACTCCCTTTTTGGTTGTATTTCTTTTGTTACAGGGATCTGCACGGCTTATTATGAGAGCAGATTCAACACCAGGGCTGTGGGGCCGCGAAACAGCGATGGCAGTCGGGACTATGGGATTTTTCAGATCAACAGCCGCTGGTGGTGTTCCAATGGACAAGGCCCAACAGCTAACGGGTGCAGAAGCTCTTGCAGTGGTAGGCCGTTAACTCGTATGAGAACTATAAAAAACAAGCAAAAGCCCTGTAAAACCTTCCAGATTTGCAGGGGCAGACAAAGGAGGGTGATGTTTCTTAAAGAAGTGTCCCATTCTTCCCTTTCCTGTTCTCATCCTTCAGCTACCATCTTCAATATATCCTGCCCAATAGAAAATTAATTCCTACTGTTCTATTTGTTTGCTATTCTCTAAGCCAGTGGCTTCCCAATCTTGGGTCCCCAGATGTTTCTGGACTGCAATTCCAAGAATTGTTGTAGACATATGATTCAGGCAGGCTTTTTTCTCTGAGAAATAAAACTCCAAACTCCAATACTGTGTTTAAGTCCTGAAAACTAGTCTCCAAAAGAAAAAAGCAACCTAAATTCTAGAGTATGGGAGGTGAGATTGGCATGAAACGCACAATCCGCCCCTTAGAATGTTCCTCTTCTATTTGTGTGTTATCAGCTGAAACATGGAGCAGAAGGACAATCACATCAGCATGCACACCCAGACATATGCACATATTCTTGTAGGTTCCTCATACAGCAGTTATGTGACTACTTTCACAATCAGTATAATAACCAATGCACAACGGTGCACACAAAGGGGAGTCTGCTTGAGCAGGGGCAGCATTTAAACAACTGCCCTTCTGCCCAGCAGCCATGGTGAAACTGCAGTACTGCAGCGAAGCCTCTCCTTAGGATTTGAGTTCAATCCTAAACGATTCATGGAGCTGGTTCAAGGTCAGCTTAGCCTTCCATCCTTCTGAATTTGGTAAACTGAATACCCAGTTTTCTGGGGGGTCAAAGTGTTCCTTGAGTAATTATGTGTTAACTGCCCAAAGAGTGTTCCAATCCTATGGGTAGGTGTGTAAGTTAAAACAACAAACAAATGTCTATCTCTACCATGGGACAGTCTACATGCTCCTGATGGAACTAGCTTTTTGTACACAATATTATTGGAAACATACTGGTTAATAATCCCGACTAACCTCCCTGATTTCTAACAAATCTTGACAGCTTTCATCAATGATAACATCACAGATGACATCCAATGTGCAAAAAGGATTGTCCGAGACCCCCAAAGGATGAATGCCTGGTAGGTCCAGCTTTGGTTCTCTCTGTGTAGAAGATGTGCAGTGGAAGGAATGGGCTTTACTCCTCTGTGTGTTGACTCAGAAGTAATCCCCACTGAATTCACCATTAACTACTCCAAGATGTGCCTTAGGCTTCCTCATTCTCTGGTATTGTATCTGTATCTTACCCTCACCCTCCATGGGTAATGAGAGGAAATACAGTCATAGAGGAAAAAATATTAAGAGGCTCTTCTATGCTCCATGCCGTTCCTTCATCTTCCGTTGCAACTGGAACTTCTGTGGTGTGGAAAGTAATCTTACAGTAGAATCAAATTGGCCTACTTTCATCATGATTTACTACGTGAAAGTCAGCCAGCAAAAGATAACTCTTTCAAACCCTGAACAAAATTGTTAACTGCTCTTGAAGACACTGCCCACCTTAGGGTCAAATTCTAAGAGTCATAAAAAAGTCACCATTAAGATGAGGTCAATGTTAAGGTTCCAGAGACACCAATCTAGAGAGACTCTCGTAACTGAGAAATCAGGCTTGCAAAGAAAGCTCCCCAAAGAAAAGAAGTTAATTCACAAAAAAAAACAGAGAGAAAAATACCTGCTGTGGCATGTTTTCAGCTCTTCAAGAAGGTCCTCTTCTAATGATGGGTTGCCCTTAACACAGGTTGCAGAACTGAGCAGAATTCTAGGATCCTAGCAGAAGAGTGTTGATGGGTTGATTCCTATGTTTCTGTGGAGTGAAATATGTGGTGGTGGTGGTGCTTTGCCATGAAGCAAACTCCAATTAATGAAACTTCGGAATGTCTATTCACTGCACCATGACCGTCTCTGCTAAATGCTGCTTATGCCGATATGAGCCCTACTTTCCTTTCCCTGGTGTATTCTAAGGGGATGGAAGCTTGGCAGAGAAAGTGGAAACATTACTGAAGTTATAGGAAAAATCTTCATTTCTCACTGCCAGCTGGCCATTTCTAAGCCATGACCCAGTTAGCTCCTGGCAGTGCTAAACAAAAGTACGTTGTTTACTCTTCCATCATAGCGCAAAGGGGGAGGAAGGTGGGAGCCAGGTAAAAGCCATGTGGAGAAGCTGCCCCTGGTCCTTTTGAACAGGGAACCCATGATGTTCTGCTTATCGTATGAGGCTCAATGAGGACTGTTAGTGAGGGAATCTGACCCTTACCTCATTTTAGTTCCCAACACCTCTCTTAATGGATGTCTCACCTGCAGACATCTTAGGAACTCAGAGGTGTTCCACCTGGTGGTTATGAAAGAGATTCCCCTCTACTAGCATCCATTTGGGTTTGGCTTCACCCAGTTTCAATTCTGACATGGAAGGCACCGTCAGACCATAGGTTTTGCAAGGCTCTTAGCCTCCTGAGAATAGTACACCCTGCTTTATTAAAACAAATCCTCTGTCATTTTAAAATGTGAGTGAACTATTGAGACATTAAATGCCAGGTAATGAGAAAAGGGTGGACTATCTGGGGAACCTGAAACTATTCTCTTTTGTAAATCTCTGTACTTCTGTTGTGTAGCAAATAGGAATTTAAACCAGAAATCCAACTCTGCAATAATATGTTCTCATTTTGACTTCCAGGGTAGCATGGGTGAAGCATTGCAAGGGAAAAGATCTCTCAAGGTGGACTCGTGGTTGCAAACTCTGAATCTGATGGTCCTGCGTATAATCCAACATTTCTCTTGACTCTCCTGTAGGGATCAGGATAGTTTTCCCTTTATGAGCAGCTTTCAGCTGAGTTATTTTTTTTTTCTCTTCATGTATTTGCATAGTGCACCCCATGTGGTGGGCAAAATGGTCTACTCCTCATATGATTGTGTGGGTAAAAAGATAGGCAATGATCTTGATTGAGGTTCTCTGTTTCTTTGCTGACAAATCTTCAATAAACTGGGCACAATCAAACCTCATTTTCTGTTTAATGGGTGAATGGGAGAGGAGCGAAGCAAATAATAGGAGAATACAGTATTGCATCAAGCCTTGATTTCCTCTCCTGCTCCTCTGCACCTTTAACATGGCCATTCTACACCATCCTGCCTGGCCACTGGCCTCCAGAAATGAAAGGGGATTGGCTGGTCTCTAAGAGCTGCATTCCGTCTTTAGAGCAATATTGACAACAGGTCCTGTGCATGGATGGCAAAACTGAAAACATCAACTGATAGAAAGACCAAATGAAGAAGGACAGAGAGAATGAATGAACAAAATAGTGAATGAATTCAGGGGGTTCATCCTATACATGAGCCTCTCAAAAATGGAGATTCCATGTCTTGCATTAGAGGTGCACAGGAGGACACTACTGATACTGAGAGATCAGCCAAAACAGTCTTGTTACATACATGAGTACATACAGAAGGAGTGCATACAAAAATCCTTGCATCCAAAGAAAATGAATGCCACCTGTGTACATAGGGAGGAACACCTACGGAAATGCATGCATGGGAACAAATGGGTACAAAAAGTCTGACAATTTTTACGCTGTTTTTTTTCTTTTTTATAGAGTATATATATACCATATAATTTCTACCACAAAGAAAGGTCAGGAAAAGTCTACATTTTAAGTCAAACTTTGCAATGAGTCCTGTGACTTGAATCTCCCTCCCTGCTGCAGCTTGATTCAGGAAATGAGGTGCCAAGCACATTAGGTGATTAGATATAACCCATCCCAGTCCATGAGCCACCCCTCAATTTCATCTCAAAATTTTAGCAGGCGATGCTAGCGGAACCCAATGCATCCTCCATGTCTCCTTTCCAGTTCTTCAGCAGCCTAGCCTGGGAGCTGGAAACCTTGCTATCTAGTGGGCAGGATTGTCAGAAGATGCTGGGAAATCACGGTGAGGACTGGATTCGTGACAGCTTCTGTGCCCTGATTCTTTCTGTCCCCCATTACTGGCATGTTCTGCCCAACCCATCCTAAATAAGCCAAACCTCAAAGCACTCTTTATTGGGATTTTTTTAATGAAAGTGACTTAGAACAGGGATATAGGCAAATGTGTCTAATTACACTAAATGAAAACTAATGTTTTTAACGGCAAAAGAATAAGTTCCAATTGTTCCATGTTCCTGACCTGTTGCAAACTCTTGCCAAATGGTGTGTGGGCTACAGAAATGGTAAGTAAGGTATCTTTGGCAAGTTTGCCACTGGCTTGTGTATGTCTTAAACCCTAGAAAAGTCCCCTCTTCTGTGCCCATGTGACTGATGGGCTGGCAACATGCACCACAGAAATTATCTGCAAGATCAGTATCCACAGTCTGAAAGTATTAAAACATATTAAAAGAAAAGTCCTAGAAATATATATTTCTAAGGATGAAATTACCCAAACCAGAGACCTTGCTATGTGTAGCATGCACTAGCGAAATATTGTTCTACAATGTCCTTACCAGAACTGGCCACTAGACCATGCTAAATATAGCATCCACTATTAAAATAACATTTGCTATAATCCACATTTTTCAGCATCTGCAGCTTGACTTGGAACCGGGGGGTCCAACTTTATTAAGAAATGCTGATTGGAAACCTACTACAACCGCACAGCATAAATAGAAAATGATGCAATATGTGTGTGTGTGTGATCACACCTGGGTTGCTTATGAAGGCACACAACAGCCATCCAGAATTCTGGACATTTTACAATAGTAAAATATGACTAGTCAAATATATCATTAAATCAACCAACTATAAACAAATGCTGTGAGTAACTATAATTACTATGCAGCAGAAAAAGCAGTAGCAAATTGATTATTGTTGTTGTTATAGTTCTAATTATCTAGAGGGCACCTAGTTGGACATGCCTGCTCCCGTGACACGGGAGACTCTCCCAAAATGAAAGAAGTTAAACACGTTCTTGGAAAAGACCTTGATGTTAGGAAAGTGTGACGGCAAGAGGACAAGGGGTTGACAGAGGATGAGATGGCTGGACAGTGTCTGAGAAGTAACCAACATGAAGTTGACACAACTACGGGAGGAAGTGGAGGATAGGAGGGCTTGGCGTGCCCTGGTCCATGGGGGTCACGAAGAGTCGGACATGACTAAACGACCAAACGACGATGAAACACGCCTATCTTTTCTGCACACTAGTTGAAAATGTATCTTTTTTTACTGTTGTGTGCAGAATTTTGACACAGGAAGGCAAATGGTTCTTTTGCTGTGGTGTCAGGTTTTTTTTAAGAGTTTCTTCCTGCATGAGGGCAGAGGTAATTTCACAGCATCCCTTGCCAAAAGCAGCAGTGGGATCACGCAGAACAAGAAAACTCACCTGATTTTAGAAAGGTGCATTGAAGAACAGCACCCCTTCTCTATCCACTGGGGATTTTATACTGAAGGAACCCAAGGGTGCAATTGTGCATGAAAGGTTGGTGAATGGAAGACTTAGCATTTTAATTAATTTATTTAAAATCTTTCTACCCTGCTTTTCTTCTTAAGAAAGAGCCAAAATGGCTAACATCATTCAAAGGCAATATTTAAAGCTCAAACAATAAGTATACAAATATTAAAAAGGATCAAATAAATGTCACAGTAAAATATGGTAAACAGAAGCAACATCAAAACACATTCAAAGCGGTAAGGCACAAGAATCTATTTAAGAACCCCATTTAGGTAGCCAATAATTAAGGGAACACTTGCTTGAAGAGAAAGGGCTTCACGTGCTTGTGGAAAGACAGCAAAAATGGGGCCAGCCTAGCTTCCTGTGGGATGGAGTTCCAGAGTCTCAGAGCAGCTACAGAGATGGCCCTCTCCCGTGTCCCCACCATCTTGACTCTGGAGATAAGTGTCAAGGCTCCAGCAACAAAGAGGGTCATAAATTCTCTGCTTGTTATCTTGTTCATCAATAAAGCTAATTTCTGATCTCTACATCTACATTTAAAGTTCTACAATTATTGGCTTCCTGGCAAAAAAAATGGGAATGCAGAGCAAACATTCTGAGGGTGGTTTGAAAATGAAAAGGGAGATAAGAGAACAAAGGTAAGGGTCAGGGAGAACAACAGGTGTGATCTATGCAGAGGTAGTAAGGTGGCTGGAAATTGATAAAGATAACAGGCTGCTACAGTTGTTAGATGTTCCCTTCCGGGAAATGTCAGGAGCAGCACCTGTTACAAATGACTGGCAACAGCTACTGTGCAGCTCAAAAATATTTGCAAATGCCAACACCGGCAGTGTTGTTCTGCTAAAAGACCTCCCCTCTCTTCTGACCGCTTAGCCTTCATTGTTAAAAGATAAGGCTGAACCAAGCTGGTGGAGATGTTGCCATCACTTGGAATTAGAAAGGGGGGGGATTTTTCCAGCATCTGTATCTGCCGCCATCACTTGGAATTAGAAAGGGGGGATTTTTCCAGCATCTGTATCTGCCAGCTGTATACTTGCCCTTTCCAGAATGATATCATTCTTTCCCTTTGGTATTTTATTGATTAAGCAGCACAGTATTCACTCTGTCTCTCTGCTTTTAATCTGGGTTGGTCACAATGAGCTTGGTAGGGCAAAGTGACCACGGATGTGGAGAAGTGGGGGGGGGCATCACACCACAGCAGGACGAGGTACCCCTGGTGACCACGAATGTGGAGAAGTGGGGAGGGGGGACCCCATCACACCACAGCAGGACGAGGTACCCCTGCTCTGTAGATCATGGGTTACTTGGAGAGGGAGGGGTTGCAGGCGAATGGACAGATGGGAACAGCTGTTGTGATGGAAGAGGATAAGAATATAAGAAACACCATTCTAGTTAAGCCCAAACCTAACATTCTGTTGCCACCGTGGCCAACCAGTTGCCAATGGTGAACCCACTAGCCAGTCATGAGAGCAATAGTACCCTCTGGTTTGTACGTCCCAGCAACGGATGCAGAGGGAATCCAGGCAGTGCTAAACAAGGCTGGTATTTTCTGGTTCCATTAGCCATGTCCTGGCTTCCTGGCCTGACATATTATAAGTTTAAGTAGTGAGGATGACTCCTTTAGGAGCACACAGAAGAAGGCTCAGAATTGAGACTTGAAGAATTGCAAACAGATAACCCAAAGAGCTACCCTGCAAACGTCACCTGTGACAAAAGCAAAACTACCTCTTGAGGAAGGAGGAGAAGAAGAAAAAGTATGTATCAGTTTTACACCTTGTTCTTCTGTGGCTCTTGAAGGTTTCCTGTATCCCATCTGTTAGGAGAAGCTATAAAAACAAATACCCAAATACTCGTAGCCATCAGGCTGTTCAACCAAAAGGCCATCTATCTTCCAACTGCTCATTACATGGCAGATGAGGACCAGCACTTTGGATTTTCCATAATTAATAATAGCTGATGGTTTCTATAATAATCCTCAGGACCAGCTAGCAATCTTTTTAGTTCTGGTCTGGACTGAAACTATATGACTGTGTCATCAGCATGAAAAAGTATAGAAAACTTTGCCCACACCAGCTTTAGGGGATTGATAGATATTAAATAATTAAAGGTTAACATACAAAGGCTGCACTTCAAGGACTGCCTTTATGCTAGCCTGTAGACAATTTATGTTGGTTAATCATTTAATGCAAGGGACGTGGTGGCACTGTGGGCTAAACCTCGGAAGCCTTTGTGTGCTGCAGGGTCAGAAGACCAGCAGTCGTAAGGTCGGGAGTGAGCTCCCGTCACTTTGTTCCAGCTCCTTGCCAACCTAGCAGTTCAAAAGCATACAAATGCAAGTAGATGAATAGGTACCACCTCGGTGGGAAGGTAAACAGCGTTCCATGTATAGCCGCGCTGGCCACGTGGCCACGGAAACCGTCTTCGGACAAACGTTGGCTCTACGGCTTGGAAACAGGGATGAGCACCGCCCCCTAGAGTCGAACACGACTGACTAAAATGTCAAGGGGAACCTTTACCTTTTTAATCATTTTATTTATCACCAGAGGGATTATGTAACCAACACTTGGAATGTTCATTTCCTCTCTTAATAACGCTATTTTCACTTCAACAGCTGATTAATTCACCTATTTCCCACATCATCATCATCATCATCATCATCATTTATTATCATTGTAAGTATATACACAGTATACCCATACAACGAAATTCACATCCACCACCATAACTACATACACTGTGTATATAAACATGTCATTAAATACAACATCTCATGGCCAGAATCCTATTGATGACTGATACTTCCAGAGGGGAAATCATGTAAATCAGTGTGGAAATGAAAGGAACCAAAGGCCAATTATTTAACCTGTATGTGCCAGCAAGATTCCAAGTTACAATTACGCTTCCAGAATTTTTTGAGGTCTAAAGTAGGCAGAAGTGGTAAACCATTCCATCCTTCTGGAATCACCATGCAGTCTACCCAAGGCTGTCCAGGTGGCAAGGAATGTGGCACCATAATTCACACCCATTACAAGTAATCTCAGCCAGGCTGCTTCCTAGGAAGCACAGAGCAGGATCCAAACACACAGCTCCTTAATCTGCAGCCAGATGTTCCAATCTACTGCACAATAGTAGTTCTCATTGCTTCTTTATGGGCACTGGGACCTGCCTCTACCTTTAAGGAGACATTTTTGCATATGCTTAGACATATTTGTGAGTTCCACAAAGATATGGCTGACACATCAAATAAGAAGGAAGCCAAAGTCACCCCCACAGACTCACTGTGATTAAAGAAACAGGCAGGAAAAGGCAGCTGAAAACTGTTTCCCCACTTGCCCTAAGAAACCAGAGTCCACTGCTCAGACTACCATTAACCAGCAACCAAAACAGGAGTCTTCCTTGAGGCCCAGAAAAATGGTCCGGTTGCTTCCCCATAGGACGTGCATGACCATATAGGCTACCCAACAATCAACTTGGGGTTTTTTTTGTGCCCAATTTGGTCATCTGTTTTGTCAACATGGGTGGCAGAGTTTGGCAAACATCTCTTTGCTTTGAAGCCTGGCAGGGCTTTTAAGTTTGTTTGTTCGGAAAACACGATTATCATGTCTTGCCCTATAAATATTCCTAGGGACCAGGGTCATTCTGTACAGGAAAATCTTCAGAGAGACGTGAACTTGGGCCAGGCATCCAGTGGTGAGGTCTTTGCTGTCTTTTCTACACCTTTCGCTATCTCTTTCCACCCTTTGGTTTGTGTGGTAAAACAGGTAGTTTAAAAAAAAATCAGGGAGGGAAGGTGAAGCTGGGCTAAATACAATCTACCGAAACATAAAGAGCATCAGGCTGCTCTCTCAGTTTGTGTCATGAATTTGACCAAACTCCGGGAGGCAGTGGAAGACAGGAGGGCCTGGTGTGCTCTGGTCCATGGGGTCATGAAGAGTCGGACATGACTTAACAACTAAACAACAACAATGCTCATTGAATCAACAGGGATTTAGCGAGTCAACTCTTTCATGTGTTCTGTGGATTCAAAGTGCTTAGTCTAACTATGACTTGCCTTAGGATAATAGGCTCATGTGAATCAATGGAATTTACAGGGGAGATTACTCACCAAATCCCCATTGATTCAATGGACCTTGTCTACTGTGATTGACTCCACGAAACAAAAGAATTTTAGCCAATACCTGGAATCCCATACATTTCCCACAGTTGCTTGTCAGGATAGTTATTTTATTTTTCCATAGCGTTTTTAACATGGGCTTTTCACACCATCAGTTAATTCACCTTTCCCCATTCTTTCCTCTTTGAGCCATTGCTGCTTGTTTTTTGCACAACTAATATTCTTTTTGCTATCTAGTTGGAGGGATCTGAAGGAGTCCACACGTCATCCTTCCAAGAGCTGCAGCCATGAAAGCTCTTCTGGCCATCACCTTTCTCTGCCTCCTCGTTGCTGTGAATGAAGCCAAAGTGTTTGAGAAATGTGAGCTGGCTTCAATTCTGAAACGGCATGGAATGGATGGCTACTATGGCTACAGCCTGGGCAACTGTAAGTTCACTCTCCTTTCTCTCCATCATTGTCATTTTTCCCCATGAAAGTACAGCTCTTTTCTTTTAAAATTACCATTTTCCGCATCATGGTACAGGATAGATAGGATTGGGAAAGTTTTATACTTGGGGACTTAAAAAATATCTTAAAAATAAAAATTTCATTTCAGTAGCTTTCCTAGGCAATTGAGGCTACTTGAAAGGACTAACCCCTTACAGTCAGTGGCCCTGATGGCATTTGTCGTAGGTGGATGAGAACCAAGACTCCCAAAAGTGACAAAAAGTATGCAGGCCTTAATGATGCCAGCACCCTAGTGAGAGAAGGATGGCTAGAGAAGAATCATTGGACAGTAAAGACGGGTCTTTTCATGTGATGTTGGAACAAGAAGGTCAAGGAGAAGGTCAGACTTATAAGCCCTGCACAGGAGTGCCCATCTGATATTGAGTAACCAATCAGAACAACATTCTGTAAGCCATTTCCAACAGAAGAGAGCCAACCAAACAAAAAGTTATCATCTTTGAAGGGATTTTTGAATCAGAACTAAAGACAGGTACAAACCAAACCACGAACAAGGGGGGGAAATACCCACAACTGGGCTAGTTCATGGTTCGCTTCATGGTTCATTTCATGCTGAAATGAAACGAAGCACCAATTTTTCCCCCTCAGCACTTTTGCTCCTGCAACACAGTATGCTTGCCCCTCCCACTCCCACTGCCCCCTTTGCCTCCCTACCTTGTCTTGAAGCCACCTCTGCCAACCAGCCCATGCTGGCTGCCATTACTCTTCCAAATATGGTCCTGATTAGAGATGGGCACGAACCAGGAAACCAATGGTTCGTGATGGTTCGTAGCCACCCGCAAACCACAAACTAGCATGAACTCCCCAAGAAAACGAACCAGTTCACTCTTTGTTTTTCCGGTTCATGCTGGCGGTGGGGAACCATCCCTCTGGCCCTCCCTCTCCCACTGCCCCTGTTGCCTCTGTCTTGAAGCCACCACCTCTGCCGCTGCTGCTGCCGCTGCCGTCACCATCCTAAGAGGCAGCAGACCTGGCTCTTTGTACAGAAGCCAGCCTGCTGCCTGTGTGCATGTGCCCAACTATCAGCTGTGCAGCAGGTTGTTTATTAAGGACAGATATAACCTAGAGAGGAGTGGCTGTGTCCTCCCCCTTCTCAGGTTTCTTGCACTCATCTGTCCCTCTTTCCTTCCCCCGGCTATGGCTCTTGTTGTTGCTGCTGCTGCTGCCACCTCTCCCACTGCCTTGGCTGGTTACTCAAAGGCACCCCCACAGTATAGCTACAGAGGGGTTTACATATGCAAGAACCATTGAAATATATTGAGTTTCACATGCATGCGAAAATAAATGGCTCTCTGGTAGAAGAGCAATTTATATTGCTTTCCCACTGGAAAACACACTTTCCTGGCAAAATAATCCGCTCTTCAATTTACGTCATGGAGACACCTTATTTTAAACCGTTTTTTTAAAAGCAGAACACATTACAACACAGGCTCTTATTGTCAATGGCATCAAGCCCTCTCTCTCCCACCCCACACACACTCACATTCACATACACACACACAAATACACACACACACAGAGAGAGAGAGAGAGAGAGAGAGAGAGAGAGAGGCACTTATTTAGATATTTTGCTGACCATTCAAAGCTTATTTTTAAATTTTTTACTGACTGACTATGCTGCTTTTTGTACCTATCTCCCTCAGCTGAAGCTGAGGCTTCAATACTTTGGCCATCTCATGAGAAGACTCCCTGGAAAAGACTCTGATGTTGGGAAAGTGTGAGGGCAAGAGGAGAAGGGGACGACAGAGAACGAGACGGTTGGACAGTATCATCATAGCTACCAACTCCGGGAGGCAGTGGTAGACAAGGGGGGGCCTGGCGTGCTCTCGTCCATGGGGTCATGAAGAGTCACACATGACTTAATGACTAAACAACAACAACCTCAGCAAAAGATCATCACCTGAATGTTAGCTCACTCTCTTGTGTTCTTTTTGTTCCAGGGATCTGCATGGCTTATTACGAGAGCAGATTCAACAGCAGGGTTGTGGGGCCAACAAACAGCAATGGCAGTCGTGACTATGGGATTTTTCAGATCAACAGCCGCTGGTGGTGTTCCAATGGACAAGGCAGAACAGCGAACGGATGCAAAAGCTCCTGCAGTGGTAGGCAATATGCTAGGATATTGGACACAAAGGACTAACAAAGGGCCTGTGACCCTTTCCAAACTGGAGTGGGTGGGGAGGATGAAGTTCCTCAAGGAAGTCTTCCTTTCTTCTCCCTCCAGTTATGATCTTTAAAGCGCTCTTCCACCCCCCAAAGGAAAATTTATTCTCATTGCTCTTTGTGTTCCCCATCCTTTAGCCTTCTGTGAGAAAAGGCAATCTTTTGCCCATCTGTGGAAGCAGAGGCAACTTGTAGACTCGGAAAGATTGGGAGGAGGGAAAGGGGAGAGAAATCAGTCACCCTGCTCCATTCATGAACCACTCTTGGACTGAAGTGACTGATATGAATATATTGCACAGATAACCTATGTTGTTGTTGCTATAATTACTTCTGGGCAGCGGGTAAAGAAATATGACTAAAATCTGCCTGCAGTGCTCCACGTGACCACTGGTAATGACATCATTGGCAGCAGTGGAGTAGGTATTCTCATTGCCCTTTGTGTTCCCCGTCCTTTAGCCCTCTGTGAGAAAAGACAGTCTTTTGCCCATCTGTGGAAGCTTGTAGACTCAGACAGGGGCGCACCTCACCCCAAGATTTGGGGGGGAGGGAAAGGATAGAGAGAAAATCAGACACCCTGTTCCATTTATGAGCCACTCTTGGACTGAAGTGACTGATGTGGATATATTGCATAGATAACCTATGTTGTTGTTGCTATAATTACTTCTGGGCAGTGAGTAAAGTAATGACTAAAATCTGCCTGCAGTGCTCCACGTGACCACTGGTAATGACATCATTGGCAGCAGTGGAGTAGCCCTTTTTACCACTGAAGGGTGCACACCGTTCATACACAGTGGCTGAAATCCAGTACTAAGAAGCAGTAGGCCCAATTGAATCAGTGGGGATTTGATGAGTCAATAAGGCAATCTTTTGCCCATCTGTGGAAGCAGAGGCAACTTGTAGACTCGGAAAGATTGGGAGGAGGGAAAGGGGAGAGAAATCAGTCACCCTGCTCCATTCATGAACCACTCTTGGACTGAAGTGACTGATATGAATATATTGCACAGATAACCTATGTTGTTGTTGCTATAATTACTTCTGGGCAGCGGGTAAAGAAATATGACTAAAATCTGCCTGCAGTGCTCCACGTGACCACTGGTAATGACATCATTGGCAGCAGTGGAGTAGCCCTTTTTACCACTGAAGGGTGCACACCGTTCATACACAGTGGCTGAAATCCAGTACTAAGAAGCAGTAGGCCCAATTGAATCAGTGGGGATTTGATGAGTCAATTCCTCCATAAGTTCCATGGATTCAATGGGACTCACACTAGTCGCAATTTAATACATTGCAGCCAGTGTGATGATGATGATGCATGCATCCTAGAACTGCAAAAGGAAGCCGCTTTTTGTTAGCAATAACCGTGAGCAATTCCGACCACTGCGCAAGGAAACGCCACCCAACAGGATTTCAGAGTAGGCATCAAGTGGTGCAATATGATAAATATGATATGACATGATCTGATAATGCACATGCTGTAGTACATACATGAGAGTGATTATCTGATTAAGAATGCACGTCCCTAACATTTGAGGGAACAATTGTCAAACATCCAAAGAACCCACAATTTCATCTTGTGCTTGTATTCAATGAAACCTCCCTCCACACATATAAAATCCTTGCAACTGAAAACCACCCCCAAAAAGGGAAAGCCTGAAAGCATTTTCTCAGTATACGGGCTAGGAGATTGACCACATCTGTAGCAAAATACATAGGCTTGTGTCTTGAAACTGATTGTGGGGTGGAAGCAAACTAATTTGTGGATCTCCAGAGGTCACAGTGACAAGGCAGACAGCCTGCTGGGCACAAGAGAAGCATCCCTGTTACAAAGGGGCATAAAAAGAAGAGTCGGCTAGAAGGGAGGGCAGGACTCACATGATTCCACCCTCCAGCTGTTCTGCAATAAGATACTGGCAAATGTCTCTCTCCACCCTCAGACAATCTCCATGCTCTTGCTGGAAGTGGCCTTTTGTACACAATATAGTTGGGAATAAACTGTTTAACGATCCCCACTAACCTTCCTAATTTCTCACAAATCTTCTGGCAGCTTTCACAGATGACAACATCACAAACGATATCCAATGTGCAAAGAGAATTGTCCAAGACCCCAACAGGATGGATGCCTGGTGAGTTCACCTTTAGTTCTCCTCTGCTTACACAATTTGCACAGAAAAGAGCTGCACATTCACATGCCTTCAATCCTCTGCATAGTTACTCAGAAGCAACCTCCACTGAATTTGCCACAGCCCAATCCCAGATGGGTATCAAACTGTAGCTTTTGGTTTCCTGGCTCCCTGCCATCATACTGTATCGTATACTCCATGGGTAATGACAGTTATTTAAGTAATGAGGTGTGGGGGGATCAAAAAGTTATAGGCTTTAGATGCAATTGGAGCTTTTGTGGCTGCTTTAGAGGAGGGTCAGTTGAAAGTAATCTTAAAACTTCAGTCATCGTGTCTTGGAGGAACTGTGGAGCAAGAAGGCCTCAAGAAGACCTAGAGGCACCTTCTGAATAAAGAAAGGGCATCCCATCAGACTCTTAGAGCCATTTGGCTAACGAGATGGGTGGCATAAACATTCTTGGAGCCCATTGGGCTTACCCATCTGGACACTGTCCATCAGAGCTAGAGGAACAGGAAGGTCCCAATCCCCTCTTGCCTATATGTTAATCAGGTGACAGCAGTCTTACCTCAGAAGACTCTCTGAGCCAAGGGAGTCTTGTCCTCTTTGGACACACCTTTACATACTGGAAGTTTTTATCTCCATCAAGTCAGGTGTCCACATGTGAAATTGCAGTTGTGTCTTCTCCTGGAACTAGCTAGTAAAGATATAGCTATACAGTATTTCAATTTTAATTCTGCCCTATGCAGACTGGGTGAAAAAGTCAAATACTGATGTGATTCATTTTCCCCATCCTCTAAAATATTCTCATTCTGACTTGCAGGGTAGCATGGAGGAAATATTGCAAAGGAAAAAATCTCTCAAGCTGGACCCGTGGCTGCAAGCTCTGAATCTGATGGTCTTGACTCTCCTGTATCGATTGATACTTCTGATTAGCTTTCAGCTGTTCTTCCCCCCTCCATGGACATTTATTTGCATTGTGCATCTTAGCAGAATGCAGAATGGCCTTCTCTTCCGATGAATGTGGAGTGAAAAGATGGGTGATTATCTTGGTTGAAGTTGTCTTTTTTTGTGCCGGAGAATCTTAAAAATTGATTTCGTTTTCAATTTAATGAGTAAACAGAAGAGGAAAAAAGCAAGTAATAAAAGTATATATTGCATTGAATTTGGTGCTCTTCTCTCGGTTTTCTGTATATCCTTTAAATATTGTCCCTTGTTACTGGCTTCCACAAGCAAATGTCCCATTCACAATGAGACTAAAAACATAAACAAAGGGCAACTTATAATGGATTCAAATGAATGAGTGAATGAACAGATAAGTGAATAAATGCACTTCAAAGAGTTCATGCTACTCAATCTTCAAAAATACCTTGCTTTATGATTTTGTAAACAAATACCATCTACAAAATAGTTCTTTTTGTTTCTCTTTCATCATCACCACCAGTGAATGTGCCGGTTTCTTTAATTTTCAGTCGTTTCAAAAGGAGAAGCTTCTATACAATACAGGCTGCATATTCCACCGTTTCCTATCCCACAATGCCTCTGGTGCAGCAACGTTTCTGAGCATTGTGGGAAGTAAAAATGGCAGACGGAAGCTGTCTATGGTTCATCAGAGCCCTGTTCTTGCACACTACTGCCTCTGTCATGAAGAAGACCAGTATTTCCTGCAGCAACTGGAAGCCTGTGTTCTTATACTTTTTTATTTGTTTGTTTATTTGTCAGTTTTATACCGCACATCTGGCCTAAGACCACTCTGGAATATTCACAACATAAAGCCACAACAAACAAATCATAAAGTCATAAAAGAACTCAACCATGAAAAGTACACAAATAACGATGATCCAACAATTAAAATACATTCTACAAAAAAAGTACACAAATAATGATGATCCAAATACATTCTACAAGTTTAGAGAATTGCCACCCCATTCTTATGTCAGTTCTTATACCACTTGGCTGAAAAGAGTGGGCAGCTGACAGCACAGAGCTGCAGCTGGACTATAAAACCTGGGACTGTGGACACACTGCTGTCCAGAAACAGGCAGCAATGAAGGCACTTTACCTCGCCTTATCCTGCCTGCTCACTGTAGCAAACGAGGGAAGACTGTTTTATTCATGTGAACTTTATTACAAACTGAGACATCTTGGACTGGATGGCTACCAGAGCATTGATGTAAAACAATGTGAGTTCTGTGGCTTGGGTGCATAATGCCCTTTCCTCTGTTGCAGTTAATTTAAAACCAGTTTGCATGGTGGGGGTAGATGCTCGGTTTCTTTTTTCTATATGTGATGTGATTTTTTTGAAAAAAAATAAATAAATTGCAGTTGTGTCTGACAATAATAAGCCCTTTCAAATCTTGTGTGAATTTTGAAAAGGAGTCCTAATAAGCTATCAAACTAGAAAATTAAAATAATCCATTATAAATTCAAAATGCTTTGGAAATTATTTAAACTATTCGGGACAATTGTGAGCTGTTTTTCAACACTGTCAGAAAAGATTGAACTTTAAAAACATGAATGTCAAAACCAAGAACAATTAATCTTAATGCTTTGCAATGTTCAAAACTGATAACAAACAATGTCTATGTTTTGAAATTGAACCAGAAATTTGAATTACTTAAGTTTTAAATTTTTAAAAATACTTTCCCTGTTTCCTTTTTTGGAGCTGATTTTGAGGAGCCAAAGATATCCCATATTTCAATTGTTCTTCTCTTGCTTGTTCTAGGGTCTTGAAAAATTATGATCCTTTTTGTCAGTCGCCCTCCCTTTCATATATTGTCACAAGTTTTGCGAAAGCTGCCGAACTAGCTATACAACTAGCAAGGAAAAAAATTGATGAAAAATATGACATTCTCAAGAAATTATTGAAACTGTTGGTAAAATATATATAGCTGACAGGTATGGTTTGTTTTGCAATGCTGTTAAGAAAAAAATGAATTTCAAAGACTGAATATAAAAAAAACAAGCAGTGTTTAAGAATGATTAAAATAAAACCCCATGATTAATGTTTCAAAACTGGGCCTGATTAATGTCAAAGTTTCAAAACTAGGGATTTTTAAAAAATATATTTTCCTGCTGTGTTTTTTTTGGTGCTGACTTTTGGCAACAATAGATGCCCCCCCCCCCCATTTCTGATATTACCTGTACACTTCTCCGTCAGATGTCTGTTTGGCACAGTATCCAGCTGCGTATGACACTCAGCACTATGTCAATGAATATGGCACCCCCTACTACGGACTCTTCCATCTGAGTGGGCTTGAGTGGTGTGACAATGGGAGGCACAAATCACAGAATAAGTGCAACATTTCCTGTGACTGTAAGTGACTTCTTTGATCCACCTTTGCCTTCAGAGGTGCCCGGTAAGAGTTTTATTTCGAGAAGAAGTTCCAGCAATGAAGATGACCTTTGAGCCACACGCTCTGGACTGTCTGTATGTTTCTTTTAAGGGGAGGCAAGAAAGAGGTCTAGCAGAGGGCAGAGCAAGAATAATGTCCAGACTCTGCCTCTTTTATGATCTCACCATGTTTGTCTGCATAGCGATACATATTGCCACCCCCCTTTCACCCACACATTTGTTTATACACATGCATTGGAGCCAAATATCTGCTGGACCTTGCCAAACTGGAAGGTTCAGAATGTACAAAGGGAGATAAACCAGATATGTCCCAGGAAACAATTTTCTCTGATACAAATCAAGATTTATTTATTTATTACAAAAACTTGCCCTTCTAATGTCCATGACCTCTAGCACCAGAGATGTGATTATTCCTTCTATCTTTGAGACTCGAAAAAAACTTTTCTTTGTTATCCTTTTTCACAGTTTTCCTAGACGATGATATAAGTGATGACGTGCAATGTCTTAAGAAAGCTATCAGGGAGAATGGGATAAATCACTGGTGAGTGGAATGAACTCCCCGCTGTTTTAAAAATGACGAATTGAGGCCATTATGTAATTCAGTAAAGCAGAGATCATTGGCTGAAATCCTATTGCCACAGCTACACTGCGTAAGACCGGTGATGACATAAGCCGTGGTAACTTTTTGGAAATAAAACATTTCAGTTCTCCACTGTAAGGTCCCAAGGCTACTGTGCGATCCCTTTCATCAGGGAGAAGCCATCGGTGGGTGCAGGATAAGGAGGAGACTTTAATTTCCTAAAATCACCATCACTGGGATGAATTTATCAATGATGGTGATATTTGGACTTCTCCCTGTATCTCACAGTCCCCAACAACTTTACCAAAACAATAGGCATCCCACAGAATCTCAGGACTCTGTGGGGAGATTGACTTTCTTTAATTTTCTAAAAAAAAATCATCACACTTGATGACATCATCAGACTTACCCAAGGTAGCTAGGCAAACAGGATTTCAGCCATTGTGTAGGAGACCTGATTGGAGGCAGTGAAACTAGAGTTGCCCCTCCCAAAACATGATAAATTATAAGTTCTGTTGGCACTGATAGAAATATTTTTGTCTCCCCATTAATTCTTCATACACGTTGCTTAAAGAAGGATTACCAGCACTACAGAATTTGAAATAGATTGTTCTGTTGTGAAAAAGGGCAGGGGAATATGAGACAGGATGACAATACTGATGGAGGAGAATTTTGTTTCAGTCCTTCTGCATGAGAACTCGTTAAAATTCACATCATTCAAAAGTGAGCTAAAGTGAAACAGGCTACTTTGTCCTTGCCAATTGTGATCCTGTTCCTTCTTCTTTTCATCAGATGTTACCAACAATCTTGTAATTTGCATTGGGAGAAAATGACAGATTTGCTCATCTGTAGAAAATTCTAAACCCAAATTCTGTTCACATGACTTGGATAGCAGCACCCAGTGATAGGAGAGCAGATTTCAGAGACACCAGGTGGGAATTAACCCCCTCCTCCCAAAGCAGCCACTAATAGTCCTAGCTCTCAGGGCTGAGAAACCCTCTGGCACTAGTTATCATGTGTGCATGGCTTTCGAATAAAAATTAGATGGCAGCAAGTGTGAAATAAAGAGTACCTACTGTTTGAATTTGCCTCAAAGTATCCTGGAAGATGTACGTTAAATCAGAGAAGCGAAGGCAGTAGAATGGAGTTGTAAAATAAAAGAGAGCAACCTTAAACTGTTTACTAGCTGATGTGCCCATGCTTTGCTCCACAAATTATACATGCCTTTATCAAATACTGCAAAGCAAAATAAAACCTGATACAATTGCACATATAGCTTCTTTTGTGTGTGTGTTACTGTACCTTTGTTGATGTTTAGTCGTTAAGTCATGTCCGACTCTTTGTGATCTCAGCACGCCAGGCCCTCCTGTCTTCCACTGCCTCCTGGAGTTTGGTCAAATACTGTACCTTAAGAATATATAAATAAAATTGGGCAGTATATAAGTTAAATGAATGAATGAATGAAGAGTGTACAGAAACACAATGGTATTGTCAAACAGCTCTTACTGTCAAAAAGTTTCACTCCACTCTGACAAAGTGAATGAAGCCAAGAAATTTAAATATATAAATATTGTATTTAAACATAACAGTCAGTCTGTAAGTGCTACCACATTCTTGTGTTTTTGGATTTTTTTGTTTTTTGTTTTTGTTTTTTGTTTGTAAGTGCCACCACATTCTTGTGTTTTTGGTTTTTTGTGTGTGTTTTTTTGGTTTGGTGTTTGTTTGTTTTTTGCCTGACTGCACATAAAGAATGCTGTCATTTTTTTCTCTCTCTTATTTCTTTTTTCTGCTTCTAGGAATCACTACAAGAAAAACTGCCACCTTCAAATTCTCAACCTAATTTCTTTAACCTGCACTTATTGGTTCCATGAACAACCCTGGTACAAAGACTTAATATATGGCAAAAAAGGAAAAAATCCAATGGGAGTCCACATACATTTTCCTAAAGATTAGCCAAGGGACCCTAGCTGGCATGCATGTGTTGCAAATCAGCTCTAAGAGACAATAAATATAGACCAATGCTAGATTGTTTCTCTTTTTTCCCTCCAAAGGAGACTACAAATACCTATTCA